GGGGGAACCAGCATCTCCAAGCAGAGAATCTTTCTCCGCTTCATGTCGGGTGGAGTGGTTTGTCCCCGAGTAATCCCAAACTGAAATCTGGATGGGAAGCAGTAATAAGCGGGGCTCCTGGTCTTGCGGGTGGCGGGACTGGCTGTTGCAAGCCTGTCTTTTCTTGTAGCCCTAGCTGTTCAGGCTGGCCAGGCTGGACTCTTCCGGTTGTTTTCAGAACACCAGAATCCATCAGGCCATGGCATCTTGAAAAATAACAGACTCTCAAAGGTGCCACCGTTATTTATTTATGTATTTGTGTGCGTGTGTGTGTTTTTTGGGGGTTGTCCTTGTTGTTTTCCACCTTCTCCCTGGTTTTCACAGATGAACTTCTCGAGTTCATGAAAAACAAAGTAGATCCTATAAACGTGAAGTTTGCTTACCACTCCTGTCCTACTAGGTAGATTTTTTCACCCTAGCTTTTGTTTGTTGTTTTAAAGAAGGGTAGATGGATGTTTTCTTGGTCTCTGTTTTTTACCACCCCCCACCCTCCAATGCACAAGAATTTTATTCAAGGGGGGAAAAAAACCACTGTTCTTTCTCCAGCCATGACTGTGGTCTTTCTTCCTTTTCTCTGCTGTCTTTCATAACTCTCTCTCTCTTTCTCTCTCACCAGGCTGCTGATCTGGATGGGTTGGCTCTCCCCTGGCATTCTTCAACTCATAGATCAGCTGCGGCTCTCCCTCTGCCCTCACCTGGTGCTGACAGCTAAACGGCTCCTCTTTCTCTCCCCTCCCCTCCCCTCCCCTCTAGCGGCACGCTGGCCCAGCAGGATGGTGAGGCTCCGTGTCTCCAGCACCACCGTGGCCATCCTGCTGGCGATTCAGACTGGCTTCTTATTGTTCCTGTACGCTCACCATGGCAGCTTCTTGTCCCCGTCTGCGGAGAAGCCGGCCCGGGTGCACGTCCTCATCATCTCCTCGTGGAGGTCGGGGTCCTCCTTCGTCGGCCAGCTCTTCAGCCAGCATCCCGACGTCTTCTATCTGATGGAGCCCGCCTGGCACGTGTGGGGGACCATGTACCAGAACAGCGCCCGGGTCTTGCACATGGCCGTTCGGGACCTTGTCCGCTCTGTCTTCAAGTGTGACATGTCCGTCTTTGACGCCTACATGCCTTGGAAGAGGAACTTGTCTGATCTCTTCCAGTGGGCCGTGAGCCGGGCGCTGTGCACCAAGCCGGCTTGCGAGTACTTTGAGCGCACGGAGATCACCAGTGAAAGATCCTGCAAGACTCTTTGCGGTAAGTACCCCTTTAGCAACGTGGAAGAGGCCTGCAAGACCTACAGCCACGTCGTCCTGAAAGAGGTCCGCTTCTTTGACCTCCGCGTCCTCTACCCTCTTCTTACTGACCCCACCTTGAACCTCAAAATCATCCACCTGGTCCGTGACCCCAGGGCCGTGGTGAAGTCCCGGGAACAAACGGTGAAAGCCCTTACCCGGGACAACGGGATCGTCTTGAACACAAACGGCACGAAAGTGGACGACAGCCAGTACAAAGTCATGCAGGAGATCTGCCGGAGCCACATCCAAATTTACGAAACAGCTACTCTCAAACCCCCGGAGTTCCTGAAAGACCGCTACCTGATGATCCGGTTCGAAGATCTAGTCCGAGATCCCTTAGCAGAAATCTCGGCCATGTATCGATTTACGGATCTCCAGCTGACTGGCAAACTCGAAAACTGGATCTATAATATCACGCACGGACAAGGACCGAGCAGGAGGAAAGAGGCCTTTCAGATTACCTCCCGGAACGCGGTCAATGTCTCCCAGGCATGGAGGGACCTTCTCCCGTTTGAGAAAGTCAAAAAAGTCCAGGATGTTTGCAAAGGTGCTTTAAATATCCTTGGCTACCAGCTTGTAGATTCTGAGAAAGAGCAGAAGGATTTGTCTGTAGAATTAGTGCTGCCTTATCGGAGGAACCAATTCAGCTGGGTATCGTTTGGTGACGAGTAGGCAGAACGTCACACCGAACTGGGAAAGACTTGCTTTGCAAGTTGCGTCTAGCGCTTCTAGGAAGTGTTGCACATCCTTTGCCACTACTGGAAGGAAAAAGAACCAAGAGCTTGTCCTGTCTCCTTTTATACTTTTATATACAAGTTTGATATGACTTTAACTGCCAAGGCTCTATCCGACAGAAAGCTGGCCATTACATTTTGGGAAAAATAAATACTGAGAATTCTCTGTGGCGGTTCACAGGAGAGTCGAGAGCTCTCCAGTGGAGAATGACAAGTGTCTCACTAAATTATATATCCCCGAATTCCAGAGCATGGCATTAAAGCGGTTTCAGACTGCTGTAATGGCTCCATGTAGATGCACTCTGTGTTTGCAGGTATTGCAGCCTGGATCAAGTAACCTCACGGCAGGACGATATCTGTAGCTTTCAAGAGAGGAAGGGAGGCGTTCCTTCCGCCTTTTTCATTAGTCGCAATGCACGGCATCCAGAAACAGGCTTTTATTCTGCGCCATGTTCCAACCCACAAGACTCTTCTGAGAGAAAAGGACAAATGTTGCAATGTTGTGGTATATTGTTATTTGCATTCTTGAAATGTTTTTGTCTGTATTTTTTTTTAAAAAAAGGTCAGCCTCAATATTGTCAAACAAAGGACCACAGAATTGCCGATCATGGCAAGAATGGCGGTCTTGTGGTCCTCTAGATCAGTGGTCCCCAACCTTTGGGCCTCCAGATGTTATTGAACTACAACTCCCAGAAGCCTTCGCCATCACCTGTGCTGGCCAAGATTTCTGGGAGTTGAAGTCCAAGATCATCTGGAGGCCCAAGGTTGGGGACCACTGCTCTAGAAGTTATTGGACTCTTGGTCCCCTAGGTGGGTGGCCTGGGGTGATGGAATTTGTAGTCCCTAAACATCTAAAGGGCTATAGCTCCCTCTCCTCTTCCTTTGGTCCTTATCTTTTGCTCAATGTGGCTGGCCATTTGAGTGGAGGTCCTCTTGCTTTCAGGCTTCAAAGAACCTTGTTAGGCAGACATTTTGCCTGCTGTACATTTCACATACGTAGATATACTAGGAAAGTCTATGTGTAATACACATATTATGTTGGTTCATAATACACATTGTTGGTTCCCACAGTGTAGAGAATGCAGGTTTCTGCTTTATAGCTGCTTAAATGAAATGAGTCGGCAGAAGAGAAGGATTTTGTGGAAGGCAACAGAAGTGCAAACGGAAGCCTTAGGCATTTTGGGACAGCCTTCCTTTATCTGCTGGGCAGAGTCTTTCTTGTGACTAAAGGAAGGGACTCCCACAACGGACCCATAAATACGGCAGAGATGGAGTTGACTGTAAACCCAGCGGGGCAGAGTGAATGAGAGCCACAAATGATTGCTGGCCGGTTGGTAAAATGTCGGTGTGACATTCAGGAGCTCATTTCTTTAAACTGAACATCAGGACCCAAAATGAAAATGCGATGTAATACAGAGATGTAACACCAGGGAAAGAAAAACAAAGGCAGGCTGAATGACATTCCAGAATGCTTGAAGACACCGTTTGTTTACTGGATTGTGTAAAACGAGGGGTGTATGTGTTTTTAGTTCCCCCTGCCAAACCAAGCCTCTGTTCTTACCAGCTCTTCACTGCCTGGAAGGTCTCCCCCAACACTAGCTTGGAAGGGTCTTTCTCTAGTCAGTGGTATAGTAAACCATTCTCCAGATGTTTAGGGGCATTGTCACATGACATTTCACAGATAGGTAGGTACAGAGCGGGGAGCGTACAGCCACCTGCCTAGTGTTGGACTACGAGGCTCAGCATCCTCAGGTATTCCTCGTCTGTACGAATTCAGCTGAACCCATGGGCTGGTTGCTACATTAATTAGAATTCTCCCTCCTCTTCGGTCAGAGCATCCCAGAGACCAGCAGGTCTCCGTCTTTGATATGTTACATCCCACCAGTTACTCACTCAAAGGAGAGTGCAATGAAAAGCCCATAAGATCCACATTGATGTCTCCTTCATTCCAGTATGTTATTTATCATTGAAAGTACATTGGCGAGTGTTGAACTGAGATTTAGGAGAAACTCAGAAACACCAGAATTTATCTGCCCCTCACCGAGAACCACCGTATAGACACCAAAGGAATAAAATAAAATAAAATGTAGGAAACGCACGCCTTGAAGCATCCATGAGAGGTGGCCATTCAACCTCTGCTTAAAAATCAGCTGTGAAGGACAGTCTACCAGGGTCCAGAGCAGTCTGTCCCATTATTCAAGCCATGGTTTTGCCTTTGCCACGTTACAGTGCCTTCTCGTGGTTGAAGAGGGATTTGAAACCAGGTCAACCGAGTCCTAGTCTATGACTCTTGTCCACTATATCGCACTGTTTTCAACCTAGCTGCTGGTTTGGGGGGGGAATCCTATAGGTTTTTTTTTTACACTGGGAGACACAGACTTGGAAGAGTGGGTGCTGTACCCCATTTTTAAGGCTCTTATCTCTGCTGCCATCAGGTGACAGAAGTGTGGAATTGCACCCTTTACTAGCGCAGGTTTTCATATGCTCAGGAGAAGGCAGGCCAGGATGAAACCATATACAACCTCTGACCAGCCTAATATGTTTGTCTTCAGCTTGTGATGCTCCTTAGCACCATGCTGGCTTTTAGAAAATGGTGAAGAGCAGGAGGATAAGAGACCAGGTCAATTTGTTCTTTTTCTTCTGTTTATCCTCTTGGTTTAATGCTTTAGAATTTGCCCTAGAAATCCAGAAGGTCCCATTTTTCTTACTTTCACTCAACATAATGTATCTGCTCACATCTTTTTTATTATTATTATTAAGAATGCGGGGCATCTGAATAATCTAGAAGGCGATCCATACGCCACGAAAAAGGGGGCCTCCCCCGTTTGCTGGCAGTGTTTCAAAAGCACAAGCCTTTAATCCCAATATTAAGAACTTGCACCCTCTTTCCGAAACAGTAAAGAGCTTCGTGGAAATAGGAGAGAAACACATGAGGAGATAGGAAAAAAAAAATACAGAGTTCAAAAGAGGGACCTTAGGTGTCTAAAGGAAAGCAGCCCAATTAAATCCTACCTTTTCTTTAGGGTTGCCTTTCACATGTTGGATTGTATGATCAAAACAGCAGGACCTTTTTCTTGAAGCCTGTAACTGACCACATGTAATTCCACTGGTATCCATGTAAGTAAATGTTTCAAAGAGATAGCTGTATCAATTTGTTACTCGAGATGGGCACGAACCGGTTCGTCCCTGCTCGTAAAGGGGGCCACACAGCTGCTGCTTCTCCCCTCCTGTGCCTCCTCAGGCTCAAACAGCCACTCGCCAGGCCCAGCGTGCTGGCTTTCCCGCACCTCCCCAACTGATCTTCCAGTCCCGGCAGCAGCTCAGGCGTCTCCGTCTTGCCCTCTCGGCTGATCTGCCACTCAGACAAAAGGGCGGGGTGGAGAAGAAGTCGGGGCTCTTGCTCACGACCGGGAGATTCGCTTAGGGGTGTGGTGGGGGGAAGGAAACAAGCTGGGCCCATTGAGTGGAAGTGATGGAGGGGAACAGCAGCCACACCTTCACAAACTGTGCTGATCTGGGACGAACCGGTTCACGTCCATCTCTATTTGTTACAACAAAACCAAAGAAGAGCCCTTTCGCACCACGAATATAACAGATTCCCTTGTTTTAAGCTTTCGTGGATGTAGCTCCCTTCCTTCAGATGGACGGAGATTCAGTCACTGCAGCACCCCTGCTAAGGCTGTCTTTGCAGCCCCCATATTTCGCCTTGATTCCTCTTATTATGGCCATACACCCCAGTGGAGCCTTGAAACCCTGCACATCGTAGGTCCCTGCCCCTGACCTGCTATTGAACACTAAAAATGTATGTACCAATTTTTCACAACTGGAAGTGGAAATAAGTGACCCCATGTAATTACGCTGTAAACTGCATGTAATTTGGGGGCCATGCGTGCACCCTTCAGACATTCCTGGGGGAGGATGGGTGGGGTGGAATTGACCCTTGACTAGCCAAAGTTGTTGACTTCAGGACTTGAGACCAAGTTTTGGCGTGTGCATTCACCCTTAGTTCCGCAAGGGGGCAATGCAGCCTTTCAAATCACCTTGGGATGCTGGCATGCCCTCGCCGTCATCCTCACATCTGTATGGTGTGTGTCTGTGATTGTGCAGCCCTTTACCTGGCAGCTTGATAGGTAAAGCATCGCATTTTATGTCTGCTACTGCTGGTGCTGCTTTCATCCTTGCAGAATTCGTCCTTCCATTCGTAGATCACACCAGAGAGGAAATGCAAACTGAGAAAATAAGACACACTCTTTATTAATTTGCTCGCAGCAATTATGGACAGTGAGCTACAGGCTAACAGAAAGGAAAGAGGTCGCTGCCCTGATGATCATACAGGCCAACAGTAGAAATGAAGAAAAAGAAAGAAACTGAGCTATTTTGGCTTTCATAACCCTAGAGGAGAAACAGCCCATGGCAAAGTTATTCAAGAGAAGAAAGCTTTGGAGCCAGGACTGGAAATAAAACAGAAAAGTGGCCCTACAAAGATTTTGGGGGAAATCCCAGGCAAAGAAAGAAACTGAGCTATTTTGGCTTTCATAACCCTAGAGGAGAAACAGCCCATGGCAAAGTTATTCAAGAGAAGAAAGCTTTGGAGCCAGGACTGGAAATAAAACAGAAAAGTGGCCCTACGAAGATTTTGGGGGAAATCCCAGGCTTAAGGAGTGCCAAAAGCCAAGCAGAGCTTCAAAAAGAAAGAAAGAAAAAGCCCAAGTGGACTCAAGGGCTGGGCCCTGATGTGGTTTCAAAATAAGGAGGAGCCGTTTATGCTGGGTCTGGTAACCCGAAAGGGGACCCATACGGCAGCAGACCTACAAGTTCATTCGCTGAATTTGAGATACTAATAAAGCCATGCTTATTGTACTAAATCACCACCTAGGAAATACTCATGACACAAACGAAATAAAAGCAATTTAAAACACACATCAACAATGAAACACGCAACACCCACCAGTCAAAACTCCTTTTTCTGAAGAGCTCAAAGTCTGGAAAACAGACGGCCTATTTATCTGCTCTGAATGCTCACTGGTAATAATGTGGTTTTTTTTTCCAGTGAACAACAGCCTTATTACATTTATTGGCAATAAATTAACGATTACCCTCTTTGTAATTCTCAGAGCGGAATGAGATATCTAGTTAAGCAAGGAAGAAGTTGCTGTTTCCAAATAATTAAAGAGTAAATCTTTCCTGAGATGGAAGTAATAGACTTCTTATGAGTTTCCCTTTATTTCCATCCTGGCACTGCTCAAGTCTGGTTTCTCTAAATCTCTTTTGTACACTGTTTTCCACACCATCCCCCAAGCTAATAAACATTGTTTATGTGCAGAATTTTGGGTTACGTAATACCTTTATCACATCACCAAAACATTTAGAAATATGGTGAGCTTTTGACATCTTCAAAATTTTTAATCAGTCATAGAAGGTATAAAATTTGGGGATGGGGCAGAAGCCGTCGGTTTCGGATGGAAGAATTCACGAACAACTTTTTAGTGATCTGAAAAAGGTAATGCTGAACCCAGCATTTTGTTTCTCCGCATGGATCATGGGTCAGTCTCTCTCTTTTTTTTCCTGTTGGCTGATGGAGATCAGTAATTAGATGTTGGCTTTAGACTTGTCCAGGATTTTAGTTCTTCGTGGTAGATATGACTTTAGCTGGTCTAATGGGTGAGATACTGGGTATTTCTTATATTG